GACCTCTCCATGGTCTGCTCACCATTGTACTGCAACAATGACTTCGGATCCAGCTTGCAAATCTGACCACCGTCATTCTCCGCATGCTTAAGCTTGGAAGGCTTGTCCTCGGGTTCCCGAACCCGCTCACAAAGCAGTACACGCATCTCCGCTGCCTCCTTGGCAAGCCTACGGTTCTCTCGCTGGGATTCCTCAAGTGCCCTCACAAGATCCTGGAGTTTGCGATCAGCTTCTCTCTGGGATTCTGCGAGTGCATTTACGAGATTGTGCATCTTATCCATGTTGCTCTGTTCCACAGACCTGAGCTCTCTACATGTCCGGCGTAGGTGCTCGTTTTCCTCCACGATGTCACGAAAACTGGCTTTCAAGGGAAGGGCGGGACCATCTCTTTCGTTTTCATCCCTACTCTCCAACCATGAAGGCACTGTACGACCACTGTCAACACTATCGTCACGTACGACAGCCTCCTGCTGGATGACAGTTTCCGACGGATCGTACGCATGTGACTGCGGCGACATGCCTGTCACCGTAGGAAAGCGCGGCTCTGCTGACCCATTCAATGTCTCCTTCACAAAGCTGCCCAACCGCGACATGCTTCGACTCATGAAGTCCGAGACAACGCTACCTGACTGAATGCTCGTCCTATCCATGTTTTCTTGAACAACTTCTTTCAACACAACAACTCCGAGAGGAAAACCAGGCCTTCGCGTACCAAAATGTTAGGAAAACTTCCTACAAGTATCTCTCGATCCAGCGTTGACACACGAAGTGATCCCGTCAAGAAACCAAAGAACAAGCGCGCGACAGTAATGCACAATTCAACGGCAATTTACTCCAAATCAACGTTAGAGATAAAGAAAAGTAAGTAATCTAATTTCCTAAGAAACGAGACTGCCTAGGACACCTACTTAAGAAAGACAGGAAGTCAGTAAACATATCCTATCAAGTTGGACCGCTGCAAGGGACTGGCGCAGCAGCTGATAGCGATAGACGGCAGCTATCTCAGCCGTTGTCATGCCGCCCAAGGTTAGCAGGTGAGTCACAGTGTTTGGCCATCATTACGCCGCCGCTGCTTCATGCAAGACCTTGTCAAGCTAGCCAAGCTCCCTGTACCTCGTCAGGGAGGGAGATGGATGATGCGAAGTCACAGGGGACCCACTTCAGCCTGAGGTCATCTGTTCGACACCAGAGACAGTCAGGGAGGGTTCACTAAATGAACAATCAAAATCAGGGAATATCATATCTACCTGAATACTGAACTTCATGACAGGCTGAACCTCTGAGAACATCTGATGATGACATCAGCATCGAGCCTCGCATCATCCCTATGTCATGTGACATGGACGAGTCACAGGGATCCCCCGAGCAGAGCCAGGAGTCGCACAAGATGACGACGAGGCCACCAGATAGCTCTCCCACCATGATGATGAGTGTGGCAAAGAAGCTGAGGGGTGACATGACAGCGAGAAAATCTCGATGATGGAGGGATCAGTCCTGATCAAAGTCGCTCTGAATGTCATAAGTGACAAGAGCTGTTTTCAATCCAACCTCAAAGCCTGTACGTGGCCAACAGTGAGGAGAGGAATTACCTCATGATTCCACTGGTCAAGCACCGCGATGATTGAAGCGGCAAGCCTAGAGCACGGCAGATGAAAGCTTGAAGGTTGTGAAGACCGAGGAAGGGAGACGTCCCATTGAAGCCTCATTGCATGCCACGATCTCACGATGGCGATATGATGACACGAAGCAACTCTACAGCAGAGTTGAAGAAATGAAAGGCAGCTTAGAGCGTCAAGCCTTCGCGAGACGAAGAAGCAGACGATGAAGACATACCTTCGATCGAAGTTATGAAATGATGCTGCAGAAATGAAGGAGGTCCCAAGTCGCCAGGCACATCAGTGCTGATGGGCGCTGAGGAGAACCTTTCAGTACCATGCACAGCCCTACTGCGAAAGTCAAGTCAAGAGGCTGATCGCTTATGGAAAGAGGAATATCAAGTCTGATGAGCAAGACCATACAGCTTCAAGGCACCTACTCTACCTCCATTCAGCTTCCTCAGCCTCAGTCAGGAGAGTTGCCTCTCCTCACCTTGGCCTTCGGTCGCCACCTACTCCTCCTCCATTCAGCTTCCTCAGCCTCAGTCAGGAGAGTTGCCTCTCCTCACCTTGGCCTTCGGTCGCCTCCTACCTTTGCTCCTTACCTTGAGCTCAGCTCAAGCTCGGTACGGGCTCGCCCCGTCTTCTTCCTCGCCCTCGCCTTGCTCTTCCTCCATGTCTTCCTCTTCTTCGCCATCTTCCCTCATCTCCACCCGCAGTCGGTCCTTCGTGTCCACCTTCAGCGAGCAGGCCAGCACATGCATCTCAGTGCGAATTTACTCAGTGCTATGAACAGGAAGCTAAGAGATCGACGCTCTATGTCGTCGCTCTCCGCCTCCTGCTCAAGCTCAGCAGCTGCCGTTGCCCGTGGCGAGAACGCGCTGCCCCTCCTTGCCTTCTTGCTCTCTCCTTGCACGCGAGTCCAGCGCTTGCTCTGCAGCCACTTCCCCAGCTTCTCCTTGAGCGCGTTGCGTCCCACTCCCTGCTCCTCTGGCGTCTTCGCCCACTCTCCCAGCGACATGAACTCCAGGCTCCCCGGAGAGTAGAACGTGTCGTGGAGGTTGCCAACGGCCTTGTCCAGGACCAGCTTGATCGGCTCGCTCGTCCCCGCCTCGTTCAAAGAAGCTGCATCTTCGATGACTGCTGACAGCTCGCTGACGAGCTGCATGTCCTCTTGGCTTGACGGAGATGCTGCCTCCATTGTGATCCTCTCCAGGTCTGTAAACTCCAGCCACTCTCCCTCGCTTTCCTCCTGTCGCTGCGCTGCGTCGCTGGTGCCCCGCTGATCAGCCGCCTCAGGCTCCTTGTCGAAGCCGACTGCTTCGAGCTTGGTGGCTGCGCCTTCGAGATAGAAGGGCAGCTCCTTCATCATGCATCGAGCATCCTCCGTGGAGCCGAGGAGGATGCATAGCTTGGACCCGTTCCAGGACTTGGTGTTCAAATCCTCCTCCATGTCGATGCCTTCAACTTTGATCTCGAGCCTGTTAGCGATCTCCAACAGCACTCTCTTGACTCTTGCGATGGACGTGTTGCCGCCGTTGCACAGCCCCTCCATCTCCTTCCTCGTGAAGCGACCAGATGCCGCCGTCGACTTGATGATGATCTTGATCTCCTTGCCGTCCTTGCCGCCTGCCTTCTTCTGCATCCTTGATGCCTTCTTCAACTTATTTCTGGACACAAAGCGATCAGCTGTCAACTCGACTGCGAGCGCCTCTCTGATCTTCGGGTCCTCGCTGAACAGAGTCAGGTGTACTCCCTCCATCGCTTCGCTCTCTCGGAAAGCTCGAAATGCTGTATCATTCGCCTCTGGGCAGCTCGAGGAGACGATCCACTCCACCTCCCTCTGTCTCCAGATGACGTTGGCCCCTACAGCGACGAAGCCTTTCTGACCTAAGCCTTTGTGGACTTGCTGTCCTGGCGCCCCAGCGACCAGCATGCCTGCCAGCGGCTGGAGTTGGACCGCTGCAAGGGACTGGCGCAGCAGCTGATAGCGATAGACGGCAGCTATCTCAGCCGTTGTCATGCCGCCCAAGGTTAACAGGTGGGTCAGCTCTGCCAAGCTGCCCCCTTTGCCCCAGGGTCCTCTCTTGGCTCGAATCTTGAAAGATCGATCGTGCACGATGCTCACATGTACAGCTGTGAACTTGCGACCATCGATCGCGAAGTCCTCTCTTCCCTGCCAGAGCTTCTCCGCTTGTGCATTGCGGAGGAAGGAAACAGTCACCGGGATCTCCTCAGCACTCAGTATCTCGGGTCTATACGGAGCCTTCCACATGATTGCTTTACTCTCTTGCACTGAGTCTACGATCAGTCCGATCTCTTCGAATTTCTTCTTCAACTTCTCTTCATGGTTGACATACACCGAGGAGATGCCCAGGAGAGTCATGGAGATGAAGGAAGTCACCTCGTTGCCTGCTGAGGCGGTGTATGTCTCGACCTTCTCCTTCTTGGCTTCTTCAATCTGCTGCATAAACCATTCTCTGGATGCGTCACTCCATCCAGTCATTGCTTCTTGTAGAAGCTCACGTCGTGCCTGCTGACATGTCGAGCGGATGGCTTCTGCGATAGCGTCGGGGGTGCATCCCTCCACAGCCTTGCAAGCCTGGGCTGTCCTGCTGTTCGGATAACGCTTCGCGAAGCTCTTCACCCTCTCGACGAGATCAGCTTCGAGGACAGAGGCATCCACAAGTCCGCTCTGCGTGTATTGGCATGATCTCCGATACAGCAGGTTGCGAACATTTTCATCATACTGAAGAACCATACTTAGAAAGCTATTTGAAGTATACAAACCTCTCGCTTGCAGCTTCCTTGGCGCCCTGGCGGCTTCCCCTACACCTGGCAAGGAGCCATGCTGCCGAAAATAACGGCGCCTCCTAAACCTTAAACCCTAAACCCTAAGTGTCTCGGATGATGGCACAGAGGAGACTCTCATGGAGAACGTGAAGGAATCGGATGAATTGGAAGGAGGATAAAGACAGACACGTCTTTCTCAAGCCTGTGGCTAGCTGCAACCAAGACATCTGTTTTGGGTTAGTATCTTAGAAACTCGCTCATCCTGATCTATCGGAACCCATGACGGTAGTGAACGATGAAATTGAATGGCCAAAATGAAAATTGAGAAAGAAATGACGGATGAGTCGAGATCGATAAGTCATGTGGTTGAAATGAAAGCGCTGACGTCAAAATGATCGTGCCTTGGCAAAACAATGATCCCCGGGGTAGATAGGATAGAAAGGGCACCTAGATTAGAAACGAGAAAATTGTGTTCAAAACAATCAGAGATCAATCAATGCATTGCAAGAATTCTGAACCTGATCTCTGGAGCTTGATTGGAATCCAAAATTCTTGGCATCAATGGGTGGAGATGTCTTCATTCAATTGCTCAATGTGCAAGCTTCAGAGAGGTCACATGATGACCAATCCCATCATGAGGATCAGGTTGAAGAGGAGCCTGAGGAGGAGCTGTCTGACTTGAAAGATGCAGATGTGTTCAGGACTTAGTCTTGAGCTGACACTGCAGGCAGCTGGGAAGAGTTTATGATGGAAGATGAGGTGGAGCACAGGAGCCTCCGCATGCGGACAGCGCAGGAGGCATGCAAGATGGGGGATGAGCCTGTGCAGAACGGTTGGTGGAGTGGTAGCAGCAAGAAGACCTTGGGGAGGAGAGCAGCATGGAAGTCAGCTTGTAAAGCTTGAGCGAGCGTTGGAAAGGAGGACATCGCAGGGGACAGCTGCTTAGCTGTCAAGCAGATGATTTTGACAAGCTGAGAAGGTTGCAGACTTCTGACTTGCTAAGTTCCCAAAGGGAGGGTGTAAGAACTCAGGTTCTGACAAACCTCTCAGAAGTTCTTTCAGACGCGATAAGTTCAAGGGATGCGTCTAATCAGGTTGTGAACCAAGTGAAGCCTGCAGGTCCAAGCTAGTGGGCTGGAGCTTAGTCTGTGACTTAGAAAATCCGGTTGGTTGGAGCCTGGGGAAGCTGAGGCGGCGCCGGAGGAATCAAGAGGCGCCGGCTGTCGAAGAGGCAGCACTCGTACAGTGGTGGAAGTAAGGCGGTGGTGTGTGAAAGGAAGCTGTTTGGTTGGTCTTGCTGCTACGAGTGTTGGGAATAAAGTGCTGGAGATTGTTGGGAAGTTGATTTGAGTTATCTGAGGTGTTTGGTTGGCTGTGAAAGTCATTGGTGTCTTCGTGCGCACATCATCTGTGAGCCTCACAGAGTCAGGAGTCTTGGTCTTTGGCTTATCAGTCAGCTCAGCGGCTGTTGAGCTGTTCTACTAGTCATTTATCTGTGCACAGACTCTAGCTAGGAGTCTCTAATTGATTCCAATATTTTAGAAGTATCTGTGGTACCAACTTAATATTGCAGCGTTTATATGGTACAAAACGAGGGCCAAACTGGTCGGAACTTCGACTTCCGAGAACCCCTCCGTTTGACTTTCGTTGGGGGGTGGGGTGGGTATGGAGCACCCTCAACTACCCACCTTTGAACCAGATTGAAACTCTGGGATAGGGGGTGGGGGGTAGCCCCCTTTTCTCATTCCCCAAGCCCCCTCTCCCTGGACGAGCAAGAGGCGATGAAATGGTGCCTTCCTGACTCGCGAGGATGAACCTTGATATTGAGAGACTTCGAATCCAACCCAACTGAGATAGGAATGAGATGGAGATCTCATATCATACCTGTAAGAGATGATCGAGCTTCTTACTCAACTCTGCAGGTTGGGCCAAGGTTTTAATCATCCATCGTGTACTGGAATATGCACCCTAGGTTCAAACAAACCGCGAGTGTGCTTGCAAATATTCTTCGAAGACAAGATGAAATCGTTATGAACAGCTAAGCAACTAATGATAGATTCACCATTGAACAGAATCAACTCTGATTGACCCTTCTTTCAAATTGCCGTAGGTTGCACGTTGAGCTCAAATGCATGATTTGTGAGAAATTTGTATCAAAATTTGTACCTTAAGCGACTTTGCTGTCTAGATATGTTTTCTCATGTCATCACTCACTTTGAATTCTTCTAGTCTTACGGTCAGGATTCATGCACCTCACTTTTCTATTGAGAAAGCTTTACATGCTCAACCGTTCAATGATGCATGAAGAGACGTTTGCACAAAGGATTTCTTTACCTGCCAGGATAGATGACTTTAAATAATCGTTGTTGATTATGAATCACTATATCCATGATCAAGTGCATTGACAATCGCATTTCCATGTTTCATGACGTTGGATGATGTTTCTGCACTGCAACTTCTTCCTCTGTCATGACATTTCCATAACGCTGCAGAAACCTAGTTAGAAATGAAACAATGTGCAGATGAATCTGATATCAATAAATGAGATGTTCTTCGAATCAATCCTGCCTTGTTTGGACAGTTCGCAATGCTACCATGCAACAGTAGAGTTGTTGTCGCATTTGGCTCTACAGAGGGGTGCCTTGTTCAACAGAGCAAGCACTCGATGATTGTAAACGAACCGCAAACACTGTGAATCAATAAACAGAATTCCACATTCAGGTGATCATATCTTTATTACAAGCGTTTCAATCTGGGTAAAAGCACAACCGACCTCCTTGTAATCCTGACGACGTTCCATCTTTTGCCTGACGAAGTTATTTCTGTGTTAACCAAGAAGCATGTGACATGTTGCCACATCATAAATGCTGTACGGCCTGGAATATCAGCATCTTCAAAGTGCTCGTGTTTGCTGTGAACGTATCATCTGCTTGGCAGCGCTCATTGACAAACACACGATCTGATGCAAGTTCACACCAGTAATATTTAGATGATGCATCATGTGATGAAATGGCATAGACCTTGGTGATTTGCAACATGTTTCATCGTTCCAACACATCCGCCTTGAAGAACGGATGAAGAATCCTTCACGAACCACTGGACTTGCTTGTTATCATTCGATAGTGCTGTGGATCATCGTGGTTTCAAGCAATCGAGCAGCTCACTGCTAAAATGCACTGTATTTCTTGCGAGCCTATCAGCCATCATCGTGAAGACATGTGTTCTTGAGCTCACTGGTGACTGTACGGCTTTTGAACAATCCAGTCACCGTCGGATGATGATTCCCTGTCGTCTTGTGTGTAATCTCCATCCATCTACTCCAACTCAGTTTCCCTGTCATGCATCGCAGATAGCTTAGGGTAGTTCACAACCCGGTTTTGATTGCAACGTATCCCTGTGATGGTGGTTTTCACTTGTATTATTGATGCTCTTCGCTCACCAAACGATTTTTCGTGAGATTCACGCACTGTACGAAGCACACCTCAAGGATCATCATCTCTACACCTCAGGAATTTCCCATGAGGATGTTCGGTGAACATCTGATGTCTGCACAGGCTGCCGCGGGCTCGCTGTTTGCGAGCCATGGTTCGGGCAGTACAGAGCGGTGCGACGTGCCCCGAACAAGGGGAGGCTCATGGCGTGTAGAGAGGTCGTTGTTTATAACTTGTTTATAAAATTGTACCATAAGAAGGCTCTACAAATTAGTTAGTAGACTACCCCATGATCTCCCTGTAACTTCTGGGGTGCAGCCCTGCTTCTCTGTTTATACTCAACCATTCCACAATACAGTCTAAAATATCTTATTGGAAAACAACATCAGAGTTATAAACCTGAAATTTGGACCCTATTTCAAATCCTCAAACACGCCACCCCCCAATCCACATAGAAAGCAGAACATACCCCTCACGGAAAAACATACAGCCCAAAGCAGAAAAAGCAAAATGTCAACGCCATGATACAACTTGATATTCAAGATTGCCGATACCGTACGGCAGGATACTCGCCAGTCAGCAGTCCGAGCGGATTCAAGTTCCCGGAGGTACGGTCATGAGTTTACTCCGGCGTCAGGCAGGATGCGGGGTTACCACGGGAGTCGCCAGGCAGCCGGCGGAGTTGCTAACTAGTAACCATCCAGGAGTCAAAGAAGCCTGTCGGGGCAGCTGTCGGGGCAGAAAGTTGGTCTGGGCCCGGTCAATGAGGGGATGTGGGATAAAGTTGCCCACCCCTATCTGCTCCCCGTTTTTGACCCACTCGTGCTGTATAGTTTTACTACTGGGTATCAGGTATTGGGATGTTTATATGTATTTGTATGTTGTCAGCTTTTTTATACAATATTTTTATTTCACCCTTTCACTTCTAGTCAAGATGACGGGTGGTCCCTTGTTTGTGAAACGGAACGGCTGGTTTTACACGGGTAGTATAGAGTGGAATATGACCGGTTCTTTTCATATCTTAAAATTAGTTGTAAAATTTACCCAAAAGATGAGAGTTCGGAAAAAGTGTACCCAATATCATTAGTTGCCCGCAGGTATCCTCTCTATCTCACCATCCTCTCTTGGTTTGTAGGTGATGGCGATGGAACAAACATCAGGCCTTGCCGAACAGGCAAGGCAGGAGCTTCTCACCAAGGGTGCGGAGAAGAAAGCGGCACGGGATTTGGTAGCGGTGAGGGAAGCAGAGCTTGATCAGGCTGAGCTGAGCGGGGATATAAGAAGGACAGCAGAGGCTAATATGAAGCTCTTGTCTGCCAAGCTTGCTGTTGCCAGGCTCGAAGGAGACGAAAAGAAGAGGGTGGAAGCACGTAAGCAGGTCTGGCAGGAAGAGTGTGACTTGGCCGGGATCAAAGGGGATAAGATGGGGGAAGCAACGGCTCTTGTGAAAGTGAGGAATGAAGGGGATAAGATGGGGGAAGCAACGGCTCTTGTGAAAGTGAGGAATGCAGAGCTTGAACTGGCCAGGCTCGAAGGAGAGACACGAAGAAAGCGGAGGCTCTTGTGGATGTGAGGAATACAGAGCTTGAACTGGCCAGGCTCGAAGGAGACGAGAAGAAGAAGGCGGAGGCTAATTATAGATGCACGGAGGCAAAGCTCGAATTGTCAGTTGCAACTGCGAAAGCGTCGCTGGCAAAGGCAGGACCGAATGATGTTGCTCGTTGCACCAGAGAATACAATATTGCATCTTATGCACTGATTTCGCATCGATCAGATGGAGGAGAAGAAAAGTTTCTTTCAGGTGAGTCTTTACGCCAGCCCGAATGCTTTGTTCTCATTTGATTGCTAGTTTTGAACAATATCGCCAAAAGCATCGATTTGAATGAGGTTTTGACACAGTTGAAGGAAATCATTCACGCCTCTCTTGACTTTGCATGGAATTCGGGATCCTCACGGGTGCGACCCAGCGAGAAATTCAGCAGCTTGAACCCGATAGACCGAATAGTTGAGAAGGCCAAACTTGATCAAGATCCTTACTTGTGCATGATTGAGGCTTGCTCTGGGTGTGGTAAGTCACTTAGCGCCGTTGATTTTTTTGTCCGGAATGCAGATGTAAGCATCTATTTTCTCTTCAATCCTTCGCAGAGGCTAGAGGCAGTGCAAGATATTTACAATCCAGTACAACAGATCACGCAACTGATGAACAAAGCGATGGAGTGCGATCTTTGTTTGTTGGCAAAGCGTCATGCCGGATCTCAGGGGACTGCTCCTTTGGATGTTTTGGAAATTGATTTCGCTACGGATGGAAGGAAATGGCATGTGCTGGGGGTCCTCGCCTTCCTGTGGGCCGAGGAGACTACCTGGGCTCCGGTATCTGTAAAAGACGCTCAGAATTGGAAAAGACGACGCTGGGTACTCGTGGATGAGGTGATTCCTCCTCAGCATGAAGAAACGTGCATATTCTCAGTGATTGCGAAGATTGTTCTGTTGAGGAGAATATTGATCAACTCAAGAATTAACTGCATCCTGTTGGGCACGAACACAATGGTCATGAATTTCGGCAAGGTCTCCCAAAGCTCTCAATACACTCGGGATAAGGTTCGAAGAATGTACTGCTTCACACATCGCTCGCTGCCTCCATATATCCTGCCCTCAGATGCTTCTGAAGAGGTCATGAATAGGATTTTCGGAGAGGCACAGGTACCCGAGTTACTGGACCACGTAAACCCATGGATTTGCTCCCTTTTCTTGGGCGAGCTTGGCCAAGTGTCAGAAGAAGCCAAACCACACATGCTTATACAAAGTGTCTCGGAAAGGCTGAGGCAGTTGATCGCTACGGCAAAACCAAGATTGAGACAAGAGTCTATCTACTGCATGTTTCAGATTGCTGCGCGTGAACCTCTTTCTCAGTTGCACATCTCCCAGGGGTTTGCTCTTTTGAATGTATGGGGCAATGATCCGCCACCCCGAAATAGTGAGCAGGCAACCGTTCTACTCGAACTTAAGGACGGGAAGCCTGCGCTGAAGGGTACTTTTCTTTCAGAGCTGACATCGAGGTTCACTTCTGCAGTTCTTGATCCAATCACGACAGTTGCTTGTGTGGGAGGGGGCAATCCTTTCTCTCATGCATCAGCACTTCAGGTCTTGCAGAAGATTCAGTTGGATCAGAGGATCGGGCAAGATTCTCTGAGCAGGGATGCGTGCAAGCGAGATGGGAATCTGCTAGAGTCGTTTGGGGCAGTAGTTATAATGATCAGCAGCTGGTCTCCCCCTCAGGATCTCTTGAAGAACTTCGCTTTTCATTGCGGTATGAAAGACGAGAGGAAAGTGGATGATATTCTTGCTTCTGTTGCAAACAAAGAAAGCTTCGTTGAGATGCTGACATCGTGCATGTGCAATCTGGTCCCTGTAAGGGAGAGCGAGATTGAGCATTCCCTTTCGGCAGTCTTGGGCTCCTACGCGCGTAACAAGGATAAGGAAGGCAGGGACGGTACTTTCGCTGGGCCAGCTTCCTTCCCAAGCATGTGGAGAGGAGGAGCAGAATTCAAGAATCGTTCGGCCAATTCTCTTGTGCAGAATACGTCGTCCAACTATATCACAGGTCTGCTTTCACATAACCTGGACGTCAACGTATTCATGGTTGCCGAGATGTCATTTAACATTGAAATTTTTATGAACTCGAGGTATGATGGCACCGAGTGGCTGGTGCTGCATCTTGAAAGGAAAGGTAAACAAACCTGGACCGCGTCTACGTTCCGCCGACCAACAAACAAGAGAAAGCAAGGCGAAGATTCTGTAGATGAAAGGATGGTGGAGAAGATCCTGCGCAAAAGGGTGCTCATGATTGTGGAGATTGGAAGTCAGACAATGCCATTCTATGGTCAACAGTGCAAGGTGGCAGATAGTGGTGCACTTGAGACGTGAGAATATTCGTGATGAACGTTTTAATTCTTGAATCGAATAATTCGGTGTTGGTTGCTCCACTCCTCCGAGCGATTCCTCCCACTTGACAACAATATCGTAGCTGAAATCCATACAGCCTCAGCGTCTCCAGCGCAATCTGTGCTCCGCCTCCTCTAGCTTCCCGCCCATAGCCTCCAGCTCGCTCCTCCTCATCTCGATGCAAGCAGCACGTCAACCTCCTTTGCTCAGGGAGCGGGAGTGAGTGAGCGCGACATCTGCATCCTCCTTGCATTCCTTCGCTCAGGTCAAGAGCCTTGTCCTTCAAGCCGACTTGCTCTTAACCATCGATCAGCGCCTGCAGGGTCGCTTCCTCTCCCTGCGTCCAACTGCCTCGACTGCTGAAGCAGCCACCTTGATGACCAAGCAGCATGTTTTCGCTTGGACGTTCATGGCCGAGCACCTTCATGTTGCAGGACTTCTCACGTCAACAGCAGCGCCTAATGACTTGGCAAGCATTGTTGCAGGGCTCTACCATCTCGAGCCGGCAAACTTTGCTGTTGGAAGCATCCTATTCTCTGGACTTTTCGAAGCCATCTGTGAGGGACGCCAGCACAGCTCGGAGGGCGTGCAGGAGGATCTTGTTGCAATCTTCTGCTATCTCATCTCTGTCTTGGAGTTTCCACGATGGAAAGCTGAATATCTTTCTGAGATGTCGCCAAAGAAGAAGCAAGGCAAGGTGTAACAGCTTTCCGCTGACAGTTAGTAACTCCTCTGACCGAACCTGCAAGTTCTCTTGCCACCTCTTCATCCCGAGATTGCGAGAATCTTCCAACAACGAGCTAGGAGAACAACATCCAGCGCAATTGACCATTGGAAAATGTTTGCCAAGCAGAACGAGGGGGAGTTGGGAGAAGATAACGTGCTGCCCATCTCTGGGTTGCGCTGGCAGGCAGAGGGAGAGCAGGCATTCCTTTTGGACCTTTCGTCAAATGTGATACTTCGCTCTCGTTTCGTTGCGATGGCTGGGAGAGGAGATTCTTTGGAGGATGTCGCAACGGTAAGCGAGCTCTGTTTCACCACTAGACGGGGGCTCTGTCTGGACTCGAGGTCAATGCCTGTCTTCGAGCTGAAACAGTCAATCAGCTCCTACGTCTATGACCTCTGGAAGGACCCTCAAGACGTGTCGAGGACAACCAGAGAAATAGGAAATCGGACAAGCCATGGTTTGAAGCACTTTGCTCTGAGCATGAAAGCGATTGTCGCAAGCCTGGACGGCCCTGAACTTCGGAACCACCTTCAGCTGGACCTGTGCTCGAAGTTCGGTGCAATCTTTTCAAACATGCAAACGCAGAGCAGCGATGACTGAATTCTATCTGCTCAAGCGGGAATAAACAGCAGTAACCAGCTACGTTTTACGCTACTAGTGACTGTAGTATACACCTCAACCAAGAAAATCCAGAGAGCGATACAACTTGATATTCAAGATTGCCGATACCGTACGGCAGGATTCTGACAGACGGGCCAACCCCTAGTGTGGGAATTAACTGGTACAAATATTTAGTTAAATACCCCCCCTCCTTTCCTCATCGCGCCTCCATGCAGAGCGTTCGGGGCACTATGGCGGGGGATTTAGGGGGTGCTGCATGCCATGGCAGGGTGTCACGAGAAAATTCAAATCAAATTTTTGGCGGGCAAAGCTATGTTGTCCCACACCATGGGCAGGCCGAGGCCTCCAGCGAAGAAAATATGCTCATCATGCCACAGACGACGAGAAATGACCAGCATTCGAAAGTGGCATGGTGTGTCTATGTGCACAACTTGTGTTGCAAGGTTGAAAAAAAACAAGGATTGCAATGATCTTGAGCAGATCCTGCTCTCTCAATGGGATGATGCCTTGGTTTTCAAGCTGTTGGATTTCTTGCAATGCCATGGCCATTGAACTTTATCTGTGGAGTGTGAAGACGAGAATCTTTTAGCTTCAGCGACCCATTACCTCAAGCGGAGTCTTCGTTCTGTATCCTTGTATGAAGTCCAGAACAAACTAAAGGTCCTCGGGGATGTCTATGGGCCTACATCAGAAGGATTTTCGAGATGTTTTCTCCAGCACTACACACAGGTTTTCGAACAACAAGCATCTGGCAAATCACATGGAGGCACAAAGGCCATTTATGAGCACTTGAATCGACTTCGTACACGTATTGGCAACATTCACAGGAAGAATCGAAACCTTCTTTCTCGCATGGAAGAATGGTCTACTGCTCACTTCGAGAATTTGAATTCATTGTAAACTACTATACACGATTACTTTGGAAGCCCAGATATGGCATAAAGCTTACAGTGATATCGCCAAGAAGAATCCTGCTTGGATGACTCAGATGGAAGTCGACGGGACCGCCGATCCACAATCGGTGGATATCATGCTGAAGATGTTCAGTGACAAGGCCATCAGTCTACTAAAGGCAGAAGGACATGAAGCGACAGCAAGAATGGCAGAGGCTATGTCTGGCCTGCACAAAGCATTCGATGAAAGAGGGCTGAAAGTTTCAGAGAGGATACGTCTCGTTCAAGAGGGTCGAAAATGGCTATTGGAAGGCATCGACTGGACCAGTGTCAGCCAAAAACATGTCAAGGGACTATCATCTGTAACATTTGAAGGCTTCATAGTTGCAATTGATACTCATCTGCAAGTACAACAGTATGTGAGGGATAAGAATCATACGCTGGGTGATAGAGACTATGACTTCAATTCACGAACTCTCTGCACGGATAGTGTAGAGAATCTGTGGTCCTTGATCGGCCATCTGAACAAGAAGGATTTTCTGAGAAAATTCAATCAGGCATGCATATAATTATCTAAAAAGGTGGATCCAAACCTGCCTTTTGTATACGAGCATTCGAAGAAGCGAATTGTCCTGAGCAAACCGCACGACCGTGAAGCTTTCAATGCACGGGATGGATCTGATAATGATGTGGAGCCACACAATAGTACGCAGAAGAACAATCGAAAGCGAGTACATGCTAAATCAGGGCAATGGGATGAAGGATTAACAGGAAATATGCAACGGTTCCGGGGATTGCGTAGCATTGCTGGCTGCAAGTAGAAAAAAAAGAGATACGTATTGTGGAAAACATTAAACACTGCTACGATGCCATTCAAATGATTGATACCATGATATAGATTTTACAATTTTCTGAAAGGCTATGGTGGTTTCACGATTGTCATCATTGCACAGGCTGAGTAAATCATCCTTAAACCTGGTCGCCGCCTTGCTGCCAATGCGATTTCCTGCAAACTAACCCACCCCCTCCTGAAAAGGTACCCCCAAAATATCATACAAAAATACCGGTACAAGACCCTTTTATTGGAGTTCCTCCCCCGTGGGCAGAAAGTTGGTCTGGGCCCGGTCAATGAGGGGATGTGGGATAAAGTTGCCCACCCCTATCTGCTCCCCGTTTTTGACCCACTCGTGCTGTATAGTTTTACTACTGGGTATCAGGTATTGGGATGTTTATATGTATTTGTATGTTGTCAGCTTTTTTATACAATATTTTTATTTCACCCTTTCACTTCTAGTCAAGATGACGGGTGGTCCCTTGTTTGTGAAACGGAACGGCTGGTTTTACACGGGTAGTATAGAGTGGAATATGACCGGTTCTTTTCATATCTTAAAATTAGTTGTAAAATTTACCCAAAAGATGAGAGTTCGGAAAAAGTGTACCCAATATCATTAGTTGCCCGCAGGTATCCTCTCTATCTCACCATCCTCTCTTGGTTTGTAGGTGATAGCGATGGAACAAACATCAGGCCTTGCCGAACAGGCAAGGCAGGAGCTTCTCACCAAGGGTGCGGAGAAGAAAGCAGCACGGGATTTGGTAGCGGTGAGGGAAGCAGAGCTTGATCAGGCTGAGCTGAGCGGGGATATAAGAAGGACAGCAGAGGCTAATATGAAGCTCTTGTCTGCCAAGCTTGCTGTTGCCAGGCTCGAAGGAGACGAAAAGAAGAGGGTGGAAGCACGTAAGCAGGTCTGGCAGGAAGAGTGTGACTTGGCCGGGATCAAAGGGGATAAGATGGGGGAAGCAACGGCTCTTGTGAAAGTGAGGAATGCAGAGCTTGAACTGGCCAGGCTCGAAGGAGACGAAAAGAAGAAAGCGGAGGCTCTTGTGGATGTGAGGAATGCAGAGCTTGAACTGGCCAGGCTCGAAGGAGACGAAAAGAAGAAAGCGGAGGCTCTTGTGGATGTGAGGAATGCAGAGCTTGAACTAGACACGAAGAAAGCGGAGGCTCTTGTGGATGTGAGGAATACAGAGCTTGAACTGGCCAGGCTCGAAGGAGACGAGAAGAAGAAGGCGGAGGCTAATTATAGATGCACGGAGGCAAAGCTCGAATTGTCAGTTGCAACTGCGAAAGCGTCGCTGGCAAAGGCAGGACCGAATGATGTTGCTCGTTGCACCAGAGAATACAATATTGCATCTTATGCACTGATTTCGCATCGATCAGATGGAGGAGAAGAAAAGTTTCTTTCAGGTGAGTCTTTACGCCAGCCCGAATGCTTTGTTCTCATTTGATTGCTAGTTTTGAACAATATCGCCAAAAGCATCGATTTGAATGAGGTTTTGACACAGTTGAAGGAAATCATTCACGCCTCTCTTGACTTTGCATGGAATTCGGGATCCTCACGGGTGCGACCCAGCGAGAAATTCAGCAGCTTGAACCCGATAGACCGAATAGTTGAGAAGGCCAAACTTGATCAAGATCCTTACTTGTGCATGATTGAGGCTTGCTCTGGGTGTGGTAAGTCACTTAGCGCCGTTGATTTTTTTGTCCGGAATGCAGATGTAAGCATCTATTTTCTCTTCAATCCTTCGCAGAGGCTAGAGGCAGTGCAAGATATTTACAATCCAGTACAACAGATCACGCAACTGATGAACAAAGCGATGGAGTGCGATCTTTGTTTGTTGGCAAAGCGTCATGCCGGATCTCAGGGGACTGCTCCTTTGGATGTTTTGGAAATTGATTTCGCTACGGATGGAAGGAAATGGCATGTGCTGGGGGTCCTCGCCTTCCTGTGGGCCGAGGAGACTACCTGGGCTCCGGTATCTGTAAAAGACGCTCAGAATTGGAAAAGACGACGCTGGGTACTCGTGGATGAGGTGATTCCTCCTCAGCATGAAGAAACGTGCATATTCTCAGTGATTGCGAAGATTGTTCTGTTGAGGAGAATATTGATCAACTCAAGAATTAACTGCATCCTGTTGGGCACGAACACAATGGTCATGAATTTCGGCAAGGTCTCCCAAAGCTCTCAATACACTCGGGATAAGGTTCGAAGAATGTACTGCTTCACACATCGCTCGCTGCCTCCATATATCCTGCCCTCAGATGCTTCTGAAGAGGTCATGAATAGGATTTTCGGAGAGGCACAGGTACCCGAGTTACTGGACCACGTAAACCCATGGATTTGCTCCCTTTTCTTGGGCGAGCTTGGCCAAGTGTCAGAAGAAGCCAAACCACACATGCTTATACAAAGTGTCTCGGAAAGGCTGAGGCAGTTGATCGCTACGGCAAAACCAAGATTGAGACAAGAGTCTATCTACTGCATGTTTCAGATTGCTGCGCGTGAACCTCTTTCTCAGTTGCACATCTCCCAGGGGTTTGCTCTTTTGAATGTATGGGGCAATGATCCGCCACCCCGAAATAGTGAGCAGGCAACCGTTCTACTCGAACTTAAGGACGGGAAGCCTGCGCTGAAGGGTACTTTTCTTTCAGAGCTGACATCGAGGTTCACTTCTGCAGTTCTTGATCCAATCACGACAGTTGCTTGTGTGGGAGGGGGCAATCCTTTCTCTCATGCATCAGCACTTCAGGTCTTGCAGAAGATTCAGTTGGATCAGAGGATCGGGCAAGATTCTCTGAGCAGGGATGCGTGCAAGCGAGATGGGAATCTGCTAGAGTCGTTTGGGGCAGTAGTTATAATGATCAGCAGCTGGTCTCCCCCTCAGGATCTCTTGAAGAACTTCGCTTTTCATTGCGGTATGAAAGACGAGAGGAAAGTGGATGATATTCTTGCTTCTGTTGCAAACAAAGAAAGCTTCGTTGAGATGCTGACATCGTGCATGTGCAATCTGGTCCCTGTAAGGGAGAGCGAGATTGAGCATTCCCTTTCGGCAGTCTTGGGCTCCTACGCGCGTAACAAGGATAAGGAAGGCAGGGACGGTACTTTCGCTGGGCCAGCTTCCTTCCCAAGCATGTGGAGAGGAGGAGCAGAATTCAAGAATCGTTCGGCCAATTCTCTTGTGCAGAATACGTCGTCCAACTATATCACAGGTCTGCTTTCACATAACCTGGACGTCAACGTATTCATGGTTGCCGAGATGTCATTTAACATTGAAATTTTTATGAACTCGAGGTATGATGGCACCGAGTGGCTGGTGCTGCATCTTGAAAGGAAAGGTAAACAAACCTGGACCGCGTCTACGTTCCGCCGACCAACAAACAAGAGAAAGCAAGGCGAAGATTCTGTAGATGAAAGGATGGTGGAGAAGATCCTGCGCAAAAGGGTGCTCATGATTGTGGAGATTGGAAGTCAGACAATGCCATTCTATGGTCAACAGTGCAAGGTGGCAGATAGTGGTGCACTTGAGACGTGAGAATATTCGTGATGAACGTTTTAATTCTTGAATCGAATAATTCGGTGTTGGTTGCTCCACTCCTCCGAGCGATTCCTCCCATTTGACAACAATATCGTAGCTGAAATCCATACAGCCTCAGCGTCTCCAGCGCAATCTGTGCTCCGCCTCCTCTAGCTTCCCGCCCATAGCCTCCAGCTCGCTCCTCCTCATCTCGATGCAAGCAGCACGTCAACCTCCTTTGCTCAGGGAGCGGGAGTGAGTGAGCGCGACATCTGCATCCTCCTTGCATTCCTTCGCTCAGGTCAAGAGCCTTGTCCTTCAAGCCGACTTGCTCTTAACCATCGATCAGCGCCTGCAGGGTCGCTTCCTCTCCCTGCGTCCAACTGCCTCGACTGCTGAAGCAGCCACCTTGATGACCAAGCAGCATGTTTTCGCTTGGACGTTCATGGCCGAGCACCTTCATGTTGCAGGACTTCTCACGTCAACAGCAGCGCCTAATGACTTGGCAAGCATTGTTGCAGGGCTCTACCATCTCGAGCCGGCAAACTTTGCTGTTGGAAGCATCCTATTCTCTGGACTTTTCGAAGCCATCTGTGAGGGACGCCAGCACAGCTCGGAGGGCGTGCAGGAGGATCTTGTTGCAATCTTCTGCTATCTCATCTCTGTCTTGGAGTTTCCACGATGGAAAGCTGAATATCTTTCTGAGATGTCGCCAAAGAAGAAGCAAGGCAAGGTGTAACAGCTTTCCGCTGACAGTTAGTAACTCCTCTGACCGAACCTGCAAGTTCTCTTGCCACCTCTTCATCCCGAGATTGCGAGAATCTTCCAACAACGAGCTAGGAGAACAACATCCAGCGCAATTGACCATTGGAAAATGTTTGCCAAGCAGAACGAGGGGGAGTTGGGAGAAGATAACGTGCTGCCCATCTCTGGGTTGCGCTGGCAGGCAGAGGGAGAGCAGGCATTCCTTTTGGACCTTTCGTCAAATGTGATACTTCGCTCTCGTTTCGTTGCGATGGCTGGGAGAGGAGATTCTTTGGAGGATGTCGCAACGGTAAGCGAGCTCTGTTTCACCACTAGACGGGGGCTCTGTCTGGACTCGAGGTCAATGCCTGTCTTCGAGCTGAAACAGTCAATCAGCTCCTACGTCTATGACCTCTGGAAGGACCCTCAAGACGTGTCGAGGACAACCAGAGAAATAGGAAATCGGACAAGCCATGGTTTGAAGCACTTTGCTCTGAGCATGAAAGCGATTGTCGCAAGCCTGGAGCGCAGAAAGCGTTACAAAACTTATCAGCAAGCAGCGCAGGTGACTCCACTCGTACCAGCCTTCCCCAGCGGGCAAGTGCAGTCGGCCCTGAACCACCTTCAGCTGGACCTCTGCTCGAAGTTCGGTGCAATCGTTTCAAACAAGCACACGGAGAGCAGCGATGACTGAAGTCTATCTACGCAAGCAGGAATATACAGCAGTAACCAGCCATGTAGTAGACACCTCAACCAAGCAAATCCCATGATATAAGAGAGCGATACGGAGACTAACACCTTGTTAGATAAGAATGCTAACACCATGCATGTTCGATCCGACACACCATGTGCTGGCCCCGGGCTTGTAGGGCCTCCACGCCGTCCGCGCCATTCCTTCCGATCAAGCGGCTTCCATCTCAGGCTTCTTCCGAGTGTTGCGGCGGTGCCCTCCTCGCAACTGCACTTCTCAGATGTGCATCCAACCTCCACAGCCATGCAAGGGCCTGAACTGTCCTACTGTTAGGATAACGCGGCTTCGTGACAGCTCTTCACCCTCTCGCCGCGGCGACTCGAGTCTCCGGGCCGTCAGTATAATCAGATTTAAACCAGATTTGACGGGGAGGACCGGCTGGCAAGCTCGCGGCCCTGCATGTACTGGCATGATCCCCAATCGGCGATGGCGAATATGGGCCCTTTGAAGTCCGACCTGAGAGTCATTCCGAAGTTCTCGAGCCACGTGACTCATCATCCGAGTCAGTGAGTCAGTGAGTCTTGAACTTCGGATGTCGGACGGTCAACTTGCCAGGCACTGAGTGCAGTGCCAGTGCATCTTCCCAGTCACATGTAACCGACATGAGTTAGGATGTAACCGTCATGTTGGAAGGATTTTTTTGAACAAGGTTATGCTAAGAACGTCGCTGCGGGGGAAGTGAAAGCAGGAAGAGAAGAGAAGAGATAGGAAACAGGACAAACACGAGCTCAAAACAAGGTGCGAGAAACGATTTTGATGCCAAAAAAATCAAAGGAAGCTGCCCCCGATATTGAGCATGGGGTCAGAACGAGGGGGAAAGCAACAAGAATCACCCGGCAAACAAAGGTAGATGAAGCTTATGACAAGAGCCAAAGCTCCTCCAACAGCGATGATTCTGCACCATTGGACGACATGCCTCCACGGCCTTCTAGACTTGACAACAAGCGGTCCAGTCGCGATGCAAAGGACACGAAGGCACGGGCAAAGAGTCACGCGATTCAAGGTAACCGAGATGCAGAGAAACTGCAAGTGGACTTTTCTTCGACAAAGAGCTCAATGCTATTACCGCTCGCTCTTTTGTTAGTCATTGGCTTCCTAGGCTACTACTTCCATTCCCATCTCAACGATGATGGACATTCAGGAGGTTCGAAGAGAATGTCTCGGCACATGTCCAGTGGCTTGGATGACAGGAAGAAGAGCCGAGCTAACTTGCAGGCGATGCTGGAGAAGGTGTTTCCGGGTCATCAAGCAGTCGCAAAAGCAATCATGACTGAAGTTCTGGATCGAAATGTCCGAAAGATGCAGTCAAATGTTGTGGAGAAAGCACTTGTGCTGCATTTCGCTGGCAACCCAGCAGAATACAGCAAGATGGAGAGTGTTGTCATTGACTTCGTGCTTGGACATCCTTATCCAGCTGTTCTGCATCTAGGAAGAAACTTGACTGACTGGGATGACGTTCGGGAAGCGGTCTTCAAGCACTTGCTTCAGCATCCCAGGTGTGTTGTCGTCTTGCACGAAGCGGATCGCGCTCCTTTCGAGAGCCTCTACAACCTCGAGGACGCGTTTGAGAATTCCGAATTTGAATTCGCAGGAGAAAGAGTTGATTGCAGACATGCGATCTTCGTACTGCAGACCAGTTTTGTCAAGAATCTCAAGGATACAGTTTGCAGCGGAGAAGAATGCACATCAGAAAACAGGTAACTTACTATGCTTGCTTGCTTTCCATCTCTGTTTCTCTTATTCGTTCTATCAGGAATGCAATGGTGCACAATGTCAAGATGGCATCTCAAAGCTTCTGGACAAGACAAGCCTTTGTCGCACGCATTCGAGATATCGTGCCGTTTGTGTAAGGTAGCTGGATACAATTGAGTTGGCAGCAACAGCAGCAGCAGCAGCAATTGAGTTTCTCAGAGCTGAGTGAGTTATTCAGCATGATACATGCTCGCTTCTCAACGACACCTAGTCTATCTAGAGTAGTTAGCACGTGTGGGAATATGCCTGGGCCTCAGATAGGTTGGAAGTCTACCTGTGACCTAGTCTCTCCTTCGAGTTCGATGCTCCTCTTGACTCTGCCTCCGACTAATAGGTTACTCCTCCAAACTTGGCTCAGGCTGCCTCACAATCACAACGCATCCCCCGATGATGATGATCCAACAAATCGCTCCTTGTGCACACCCCACCTTTGTTCGACGTTTCATTCAGACCTACACCCTATACCCTTCTTCTGTTGCTTCTTGTCTAGTTAAACCATTGGCTCATTAAGGCCAGGCACCTCCTCTGCCGTCGCTCTCACCAGGCTTCCTATCATCTCGTCTACGTCCACCAGCTGCAGGTGATCGCTCTCGCCTGCCTGGTTAGAACCAGCTCCGGGCCATGGCAAATAAGAGGCAAGACAACTGAGGTTTACCAAATGTACACAATTAGCAAGAAATCACGAGAGAGTAAAGATGATAAACTGTATCATCATCCCCCATCCAGTCACTGTCACTACCACTCCACTTCCTTGTGCTTTTTCAACATTTCCATTGCCTTCATGACCATCATAAGCCTCACCAACGATCCCACCACATCAACCGTATTTAGAATGTCATTATCATGATGATGATGATCATCATCATGATGATCATCATCATCATCATCATCATCACAACGACCATAATCATCACCATCACCATCACCATCACCATTACTATAACTACCATCATTTTCCGATCATCAGTACCATCTAATCAACTCTATCGTCATCTCTTTCCTTCTACTCTTCCTTCTCTTCCTCCTCTTGGTCACTATCATTTTCATCTCCATCGCCTGCGTGATTGAAGTTGCAGTCCACATTAAATGTTTTGCTCTTCCTGTGATGATATCTTCTTTGTCATCATCATATTCTCAGTCTTCGCCATCTCCATATGTGTCATCATGTTAGTGTCATGTTATCATGTTAGTAACAGATCAATGCTCACTAGGCTTGCTTGTCGCATTTCTCAGTAATTCTTCGCCTGCTGTTTGTCAAAGTTTGACTAGTTATTTGGGGTACGGGCATGGAGGGGTTTGTTTTACCATGAAAATGATGGTGGGGGTGACCGATTGAGCGAGGAAACACAAGAACCACTCACAAGGCGTAGTAGGACAGAAAATGGCTTGCGAGGGGAAGGAGGAAGGAAGTTGAGGAGGTTGAGGAGGTTGATGGAAAGACGGAGGAAGCGAGAGTCAAGGAGGTCGAGAGTGACTGCTGATGAATTGATTTCAACCCTTGAATGGTTGCATTCTACTTGCTTGGGTATTGAGGATTCAGGAAAAGGCTTCAGTGATAAGCTTGGGGATAACATAAGACTGACGCAACTTCTGTTACGAAGGCACTTCTTGCTGGCATAAGTCTGATCGAGTTGACCAGATTGAGCGCATAAATCGTTTACATGACTGGTAAGCGCCTCGCACTCGTATTGGGCTGATGGCCTTGCTCCAGCACAAGCTACCCAACTTCCCCCCCTTGACGAGCGGCTCGTCGTGAGCCTCAACGTTGGCGGCGTCAAATTTGACACGACAGCTGCGACACTGCTGAAGGGAGCAAGACAAGGGTCGCAGGTGAGTGAGCTAGTGAGACTTGGCGAGGAGTTGCTCTGAACTCTCTCAGGTTCTGCTTCAAGTCTGCAAAACTCTCCATGCACAGCAGGCGCAGCAGCAATTCAGTGTGCATGTCCTGCATGGCAGTATTTCCTTGGATAGAAATGGAGCAGGTGCAAGGAGAGGAAGGTGCGACGTGATTGACATCAAGATAGTTTACACGCATGTTCTCGACTTTCTCAGAGACGGCACCTTGTATCATGTCCCCCAGTGCCATCGACAAGTGCAGCCCCCTTGCAGTCTCGAGCGCGTGTGACTTGCATGTCAGGCGCTCATCGCAGAGGCAAAGTACTTGGGGCTCAAGCAGCTTGAAGAAAAGGTCGGGGAGCAGCCGCAGGAACGCGACCTACTAGTTGCCCTCACCCAGTCAGATGAGTGAACCTGGTCTGCCTGCTGACTAAGCAGACTACCAGGCTTGAGGTTAACGTGTCGCAGTCTTTCTCTGGCATGTCAGATAAGTTGAGAGAAATGGAGGGCAAAGTCCAGTCTCTCGAGGTGAGTTGCTCCACCGCTTCTTGTCTAACAGCTCGCAAGTCGAAACTCTCAGACGTACACGTCAAAGTCGAGAACAGCAAGTTTGGATCCGGGGCGGACCTGTCCAGGAAGCCTCCCGTCCCTCTGTCTTGATCTTGTCTGACAATGAAGCTCAGGCTTGACTTCATTCGGATTCTCGCTAAAGGCAGCGCCTCCGGAATGCGCCTTGCTGGGTTGAAATTGCCCAAGGTGAGAGACGGAGCCTCTGAACGCTTCCTGACAGCACGCAGACTGACCTGCACAATCTTGACCTCAAGGGCATTCGATTCGATCGGTGAAGAGCCTCTCCTTCCCGTCGAGCACCACACTGCTGACTTCAAACTTTTCCCTTCTCTTCTCCTCTCCCCACACTAACATCACTCAGCTGTAACCTCTCATCCGCTTGCTTCCGAAAGGCGGAGCTCGACGGCTGCTCATTCCAAGTGAAGCCTTTGGCTCTCGATCCTCAGAGCTCACGAGATGACCAGGGAGCAAACTTGGCTGGAGCTGACTTCTCCTCTGCTTCAATCTCCGGCACAAATTTCACAGGTGACCTCTTGACTTTGACCTCTCTGGCTGACAAGGAGCAGGTGCCGAGCTGGATGCATGTACGAATTTCGAGGGGGTGAAGTGGGAGACGGACTTGTGTTTCACCGGTCAAAACAAGTGAGCGACAAAAAACCGTTGACGTGGGAGTAGGAAAGATCGTCAGCGTCCAACTCCCTCCAGTCGATGGAGAATTCTTCTTCCTGGTACAAGGAGCGCAAGCCGAGGACACGGAGTCATACAAGGGAGGGCGCGGAGCGATCCTGTCGGGGAGGCTCCAGCTGAAAGGATCGTCGCTCCTACACATTCTTGTAGGTGGAAAGTAAGTCTCTTCACTGAGCGAATAATGTCACATGTGCATGGTCAGGTCCAAGTTGAACGGCCGAGCGTCTGGGGGTGGAGGAGGCTCGTTCGTAGTGCTCGGCGATGATCTGCTGTTTGCCGCTGGGGGTGGAGGAGGGGCAGGTGAGCAAGGGGATGGCACGGACGCAAGTTTAACGGAGGACGGAGACCGTGGAGGAGGTAAGAGAAAGAGAGCAGAGAGAAGTCAAGAATGAGAGCCACGAAGAGCGAGGATGACGTTGGTAGTGAGTGATGCTGCCAGGAATCTCTGGTGGATCAGGAGGACGGGAAGGAGGAGGAGGAGGAAGCGGTTACTACGTTTCTGGTAACCGGCCAGTCGCCATTCTCGGATTTGACTTGCAAGCAGGAGGGGCAGGATGGATCGAAGACTCAGCGGAAGGCGCCAGGAGCTTCAAGAACGGAGGCCAGGGAGGAGGTTACGTCTCTCTTTAGACCTCGTTACCATGATTGCGTTGGTAGGTGACACAGGGGGTTTTGGAGGAGGCGGAGCCTGCGCGGGATATGGCGGGAGTGGAGGAGGTGGATACAGTGGAGGGGGTGGAGGCTATCGCAGTTCTGCGGGAGGAGGCGGAGGAGGAAGCTATATACATCCCAAGGTAGATCAGGCATCGCGAAGTCTCGGTAAGATTTCAACCTCCTCGTCTTGCCATGATAACGCAGTCGCAGGCAACTCAGGCCATGGGCACATCACGATTAAGCTGCTGAGAACCATCAATGGGGAAAAGGCGCAAGACAAGTGACGATCGTAGGATGTCCTTAAGTTTATCGACAAAAGCCAAGCAACACCTGACGACTTTACCCCCTGCCTCTTCCCCCGCATTTTCGCTGTTTTCCCTCGCAGCATCACTTTGAACTCTCGTCTCCTGATTCTTTCGCAGATTTCTTCTGCAACAGACCATCACAACTCATACAACGTGATTGCGATGTGTTACCTCAGCATCTTCCGCCTTGTCATCCTTCTTGCCATCCTCCGTCACTTCATCCTGGTCAGTCTTGCGACGTTTGTCCTCAGAGGTTTCCCCATCCTCCTAGCAGGCAGTCAATTCTTCACATACCGCCATTTGACAATTCACCGGCTCATCCGCATTCGCTTTTCGTTTCCGGTCCTGATCCTTAGCGTCTTGCTGCTCCACATTCGCCTTGTCTTCTTGCAACTCCTGCATCTAGTATTACATTCATTCATATCTCGACATCAATCAGTCACCTCAGCCTTTGCGCTTTCGGCTTTCTTGTCAACTTCTTCAGCCCGTCTAATGAGCAGTTAAGACCAGTCTGGGTGGCACGCAAAACATTCACATACCGGTCTCTGACTGATGGGTGGTCTTGAGCACCTTCCGAGCTGTGTGTCAACGATTGCTCTGCCGGCTTTCCCTCATCAGATGATGAAACGTCCTTCCCCTTTTCTTGAGTCTCTGGATCTGATGTTTCAACGGCCATTTCTTTCTCGCCCTGCTTTTCCTTGAGCATCTTTTCATCCGATTCCCCAAGTTTGTCCTCCTCCTTTCCCTCTTCGGCCGTATGTCCATTTACGGACGAACTTTCTTTGGAGTCATCTTCAGATGATTTGTTTGAAGTTGACAGAGGTTGTTTATCTTCTGAAACTGGCTTGCTTGATTCAACAGATGATTTTTGTTCATCTGTTTCCGCAGCGGCTTTTTCAGGTTCAGAACTGCTTGATTTGGAGATTCCAGCTTTCTCGGCAACAGCAGATTCTTCAAGCTCCCCCTTCGAGTCCACACCTGCATTTGGTTTCTGGTTTGGAATATCTGTGGAAGGCTCCTTGTGATTCTCCACTCCTTCACTGGCAACTTTTGAGACATCCATTTTGTCATCCTTGTCTGTCTTGTTAGACGATTGTTTCTCCGAATCATCTTTTGACTTCGAAACTGCCTCAGACTCTGATTGCTGCTTTTGCTCGTCAGGAGAGGTACTTGTGTTTTGCTTTTGAGCGTCCTCATTCTTGGGCCCGCTGTCCTTATCTGTGTCATTTACAGTTGTGCTCTTGTCCTCACTTTCTTGGCCGTTGGCTGAGTCTTTTGCCTTCTGGTCTGTTGCAGATGTGACTTTTTTTGAATCATCTATCTTTTTGTCCTGTTCTTTGCTTTTATCTGTCTGGTTCGTATCGATTTTGGAACCTTCAGCTGAAGGTTGATCATCAATATCCATTTTGTTCGGAGTCGAGCTGTTGCGAGCAGGGATATTGAAAACATTTGATGATATCGAAGATGTCGACACATTGCTGGTGTTCAATATTGAAGAAGCCCCGCCCACCAACGATAGTGAATTCTTTGACGCCGCATTGTTTAAATTCAACAGATTCAGTGGCTCAGCTGCCATTTTACGAGCAACTTCAGCTACCTCGTTGGATTTGTTACCCGTCAAGGCATTGACAACCCCTGAAGTAGTTTGGAACCTCGAAAGATCGAGCTGCCCTGTAAGAGATGACATAGCAGCCGCTGCACTAACTGCTGTTGCTGGATTCGTCTCTATCGATTTTGTATGCGCTGCGACTGCCTGAGATGCGACGCCTGCTAGTGAAGGCAATGCATTCTCCAATGCTTTGATTGGCACCGGTTCAAGAACAGCAGGGAGAGATTGCATGTCTTCCAATTTGATTTGGGACGTATCTGCCAGCTGAAGCCGATGCAATCTTTCCCGAATATAAGGACTATCCTGGTCAAGCTCCAAAGCATGCTGATATGCATCCTTGGCATCTGGAGGTTGTTTGCATGACTCGTACAGAGTCCCAAGATTGTACCACACTGCACTCATATATGGGTTGAAGCGGATCGCTTTGCTGTATGCATCCAAAGCCTCTTTGTACTGTCCAATTTTGAAGTAGAGGATGCCAATACTGCACCATAGAGTTGGATTCCTTTCGTCACGATACACGGCTTGTTGATACGCAAAGTGCGCTTTGTTATAATCCCTTATGCCCACTTGGCACCTTCCAAGAATATACCAGCTCTATAATCCACTGTATAAGCTTGCAGACTTCTAAGGTATCAGCACAAATACCTGAGCATCGTTGGGATCTAGCTCTGTTGCTTTTGTCAAAAGCGTGATGGCAGTTTGTACACTCTAGCAGAAAGTTACACAGACTCTACATTTGAACTGGAGAGAAATCACCTGGAAGGGGGAATCTAACAATCGGAGCCAAGCAACATGCTGAAGAAGTTTGGGATGGTTCGCGTTGTCATTCATTCCGTTCTAATCAGTGTGCCATCACAATGTACACCTGTACGAAATGTTATCACAACAAGATACCTGGTATGCTTCCATGGCTTTGTCATATTGCTGTTGCAGCTCATAAATGTGTCCTATTTGCAGCCAAACATCTGCTGCTGTGCGCGGAGCAGGTGGACATGTGACGATGCAGGAAAAGCACTCCAGCGACTGAATGAAACCATCAATTATCAACCAGACTGTAAGAATTGAGACGGGACAGGATAGGTACCTGAGGATACTTTTGTGTTTGCTTGTAGATAGTGCCAAGACGAAAAAGAATCTCTGTCTTCTTGTCTGAGTTGGGATCCATTTTGAGCACTCCAGTGAAAGCCTGATGTAGATGTCACATGATTCTCTTCAAACCAGTAAAACCTTCACCTCTTCGGCATGCTCATATGATCCGCATCTTTCATATAGCATTCCAATACCATACCACACCTGTGACAAACTCTCACCGTTGAAAATCAAAATTGAAGTGATGGAAAACACAAGTATTTCGAACCTGTGAGTCCTTTGGATTGGGCAAATGAAACAAAGCGTGTTGGTATGATGTGTAAGCATTCTGGAGGTCATCACTGAAAAACAATTAAACAGGGCATAATGATGGCATTCGAGAAATGCCTGAGCAGATAGGTGTAAGCGAGCATGGCCCAAAACTCTCCATTGACAGGATCAGCTTTCACAGCTCGCTTGAAACAACATCACCAAGCCTTATTTTCGATTCAGAATGTTACCTGTAAATATTCTATTGCTTTGGCCCAATTTTCTTTCTTCCTGTAAACCTTTAGGGCATATTTAGTGCCTTTTACGAAACCATAGTCTTTCATTTCGAACCTGTGCTACGGCTGTGAGAGCTTGCAGATTGTAAGGATTATGTCTCAGTGCGCACTCAAATGCTGTTATGGCTTTATCATTTTCTTCCATCAAATCAGAAACCAAGCCTGAAGTCAAGACATGAAATTAGTGGTGAAACGTGAGTGTAAAAACATCGAACCAATCCTCAGCCAAACTGCCTCGTTGGATGCATTCAAACGGTTAGAAATATTGCCTATGATGGATTGGTCCTAATAAATGTCAAACAGGTCAAGAAAGCGAGTGTTAGTCTTGTTATGAAACCTGTTGCTGGTTCTGTTGGCCAGAAGCTGGAGATTGTGTTGTCGACTGCCCTTGTGCCTGGGCATGAGCTTGAGCCTGGGCATGTGCTTGAGCCTGGGCATGAGCATGTGCTTGAGCCTGAGCATGTGCTTGAGCCTGAGCATGTGCTTGCGCCTGAGCTTGCGCCTGAGCCTGCTTCACTGCTTGTTGCGCTACTTGAGCTTGCTGCGCGGCATGAAGCTTAGGCGGCATTGCCCCTTGTCTACTTCACTCGTATTTGCACTGCAATGGCGCAAAGATAATCAGTGGCCTATAAAGTTTCCACAGGAAAAATTCACAGACACGGGGAACATGAGGATTGCGCAGTTACGAACTCGCATCAGAGGCTGTAAAGGGCTTCTTGCAAGACCCCAGCATTCTATCTTTGATGCCAGCTTCACAAGCTGGAATACAAGATGGTATAAATAAACTCGAAATTCTAACATCCTACCAAGTCTCCGAGGTCCAATGGTTCAATATCAAATTGCAACTTGAGTTTGAATCTTAGACTCTGTGCACACTAAATCAAGGATACTCTACTTCACAACAACATGTCGCTGCTGGGATCAGATCTTTGTTACATGAAAGGAAAGAGTGAAGGGGGGGCAGAGTTGGTGTCAATTATTCAACTGTGAACAACATCCCACAAGTGGAGGGGCGAGTTCCAGGTGTATCGGGTTAGATGTAAAGCTATGTGATAGGAAGTGGCTGGCAAGCAGCGGAGGCCACAACAATGTAAATGTGCGAATTCAAGAGGAGAAACTGGAAGCAGAAGGTAAGAAATCGTGTACATGTAGGGGGCGTCAAGGATAGAAGGAGCTTTTCATGTCGCCGCGGCCATGGTTTGTGGCGGCGCGGTGGGCGGGAGTGTCGAGTGGTCCCAGTAGCATTTCCGGCGGGGTATCTCCTCTTGAATCTGGACAGTTGGTATGGGACCATAGCCTTAACTAAAGGAAAACTCTCGTATTTATTTGAAATATCAGGACCAAGTTTTTCCATGAGGTATGCATTTGAGCACAAAATGTTTGTTTATTCATGTAAAATTCAGTTATCATAATATTTGTATATATTATGAAGGGGTAAGGGTAGTCCATTAAAATCTCAGATGAAAATCTAGAGACCCAATCGGCAATCTATAGTTTCTGCTCCCGTTGCTTCGTTGGGTTTGCTTGCCAACGATGAACGTGTAGATCACCCTTCCACCCCACACACGAGTCAAGCTTTTGCCACCCCAAAAAATTAAAATACCACCTACCCCAACACCATCGAATTTGTATGTGCGGGTAGTGGACCCACCCATTAGAGAATTACACCCTCCCCCTGTTGATACCACCTGCTCTCGGAATAAACATTTTGTGTGTGATGCACCCGTTCTCATTTCACCCCACCCTAATCACAGCAAGCATATATTTTTTGTACCCTACTCTATTGTAGCTGACGCATTAGTTTTCCTACTCAGTTAAAACCGCCCCACCAATGACCACCACCCCAACTTTGAGCTTGGATCCGGGGAGGTCTCACCGATAAATTACTGGCAGATGACCCCACCTCGTATACGCCCCTATATACCCCACCCATCAAATTGAAGAAAACTACCCCTAGTATCTGGAGTCATCATGTTACCCCACCCACCAGAATCCTATATGTACTGGCCCCCAACAACCCATCCATTCTCACCCCACGATTTGAGGTTCAGGGGGTAGGACCCCCTCAACCCTACTTTTCAATCTCTTTACTACCACTTGCTTGCCTCCCTTTTATTCACCACCCACCCTTGAAGCCCCACCAGACAAGTACAGCCTACCACCCACCATCATTCGTCAATTGGACCGGCAACAACCCATCAAACCTTCTGAGTCTGTACCCCACCCCCACACATTATTACTATTATATGTGAATGCACTACCTCTACTCATCAGCATTCAGAAGAAAAAAAACAGATCCTAGAGATCTTGATACTGGTGGGCCCCTACCCTCCTCCTTGACCTGCTGCTGACGCAACACAACCCACCATATTACAACGCACCACCCCACCCGTACAGCGATCGATTTGAACAGACACCCACCCCATGCAGCCGGAGGTCGTAGGGATCAACTTTTGTACAGAGGTTTCAATCTTAAAATTGGTTTTAAAGTATGGTGCCACCCCTAGCCGCCCCCAGGATTTTAAAGGGTTCAAGACCAGTTACACAGCACTGACATGCGCCCCAAACAGTTATATATTTTTAATATTTCGGACAATTATTATACATCAACCGGAGATGGTATCATCATACATCATTTTTAATGTTTCAATGTATAGAAATTTTAGATAAGTAAGTTTTTAATTTCACTTTCCAGAGAAAAAAAATAGAACTTTTCTTTCAGATTTTATACAATAAAAATAATAATAGTCGAAATGAAAAGTACCCTACCGTAACGTACGAGCCCACCCACCCCTTTTTCTTTGCCAGGCCTTTTAGGTCCCTCGTTGCATAGTAGCATTCTTCGCTCAACCTACCCCACACCTCAGCCCTACCGACCCACTTTCCAAGAAAATTAACCAAGGACCCCACCCTGATGAACCCCACATAAACAACAGTATTAAAACTTAATAAAGATTGAGACCACCTACCGTACCCCGTTCCCCTTTCGCTCAGTTTTTCCTTTGCAGCTCGATACAGGCCTATCGTGTACCCCCACCCTCTGTATCGACGGGTGGGGGTCCATATAGTGGAGTCCTGAGAAGTTCCACGAGGCGCGCCCCTTCCACTCAAGGGCTGCAGTACCCCACCCCACTCAATCTTTCGGCATTTCATCAAACATCCTCAACAACTCCGAGTGCCCTGCCACTTCATTTCGAAACGCCCGGGCCCCGGCAGGGCCCGGGCCCGGGCCGCTCGCCGCGGGCAAAGCTTGCTGAGCAAAGAGTAGGAACCAGAGTATCAAAGGAGAAGGGAGATGATGCAGAAACATGCTTGCGTCAGACGACAGCCTGACATGTTGCGAGCCGACAAGAGCACGCTTGTCATGAGAAGCAAGGGAGAGGAGAGAGGATGAAGATGGAGGGCGGCTGTCATGGGAAGCAAAGGAGAGGGGAGGGGAGGTAGATGGAGGGCGGATAGGATGTACTATTGGGGGGGGGGGGGGGGGGGGGGGGGGGATCTTATCATTTCTTCCGCCCACGTTCTACTCCGTCCGTGACCACTTATTGACCCCTGTCATGTCCTTGAGAATACAAAAGTTAAC